TGCAAATAAATTCATAAAAAATCCTACAATGTGATTTTCTGGATATTTTTTTTTCTAAATTTGTCTGTCATAGTTGACGTGTACCTTTGATGAAAATTACAGGCCTCTCTCATCTTTTTAAGTGGGAGAACTTGCACAATTGGTGGCTGACTAAATACTTTTTTCCCCCACTGTATATAGGATACTGCACATTACACACGACAGAAAAACATAAAAGCCCATAGATGTAGCTAGCGATTTGCTCTCTTGGGTAAATAAATTAAACTAGCTCCAGTAGGCTAATCTTTTTGAGTGTGAACTGTATTACTGTACTGTATTGTACTATACCAGTGGAGGCTGCTGAGGGGAACGGCTCATAATAATGGCTGGAATGGAGTGAATGGAATGGTTTCAAAAACATGGTTTTCATGGGTTTGATACCATTCCATTCACCCCATTCCATCCATTATACTCCATTCCAACCATTATTATGAACCGTTCTCCCCTCAGCAGCCTCCACTGTACTTAACTATATTATATGGACTGGAATTATGCACATCGTTCAAACCATGATAAAGCAGGGAGAGAACATTTGATTCTGGTGCAGCACATGGGGCCTACAAAGTTACAAGTATAGGCTAGTGAATTAGATTTTAATGTGAAATATAATAGGGCCTATTTGTATAACTAGTAGGCTGACTCATATATAGCCTAACTATCATAGTATTTCCCCTAATGTTATTAGCCTACCTCCTCTTTCTCTCTCTGTTGTTGCTTCGTTCCTTCCTCGCTTTCAACAGTTAAATGAAATAAGTTTCATTGTCCTTATCTTCATCATTATAATGACATCCTTGAATAATATAGGACTAGAATTAGATGCAGAACGCTTTCACTTCTCTTCACGAAGATTGAATGGTTTTGGGTCTGAATAAATAACTGCTATAGCCTACCGCCATCGTGCGTTCGCTCTTCTTTCAAACTATCCATGAGTTCTATTGGCTGCTGTATTTAACATTCAGCAAAAAAGAGCTTTCGTCCCTCTTCGAATAGTCTATTGGTATAAGAAATGCTAAAAAAAATAATGTCCAGCAAGCTATTCTAGTCTAGCTTTTCCTGCATGGTACTCCAAGAGCTAAGGAGCATTTTTTTAAGGAGAGGCCAGTGGAGCACAGGTGCTTGCGTATTGTGCAAGAGACAGAGGCTACAAGTTAGAAGCTTATTATGCATAACCCATCATTAATTAGCTAAATATAAGTCTAATACTGCATTGAATGTATTACCTGAAATAGGTAGGCTAGGACATCAATATATAGGGCTATATATCAATCTAGAACAGGATGATCTATTTTGGATGCAATTTGAATGGAGTTTAGACTGCGAGAGAGTGCTCGCATGTGCACTGATTTAAAGCAATGATATTCGACTGATAGGCTGTTTTAACACTCTGCACCTGCAATAAATAAAATAAAAAATCTTTACAATTAAATAACAAGGTGACCCCCGAAAGCCCGATGACACACATTCGGTCTTTATATTACCGTAGCATAGGCTATGCCGCAGCAAATGTAGGCCTACCTGTCACAAAAAAAAAGTTACCATGATGAGATTATAGGTCTACATGCATTGTGAACTGCGGTCCATACTGAGATGGGTTGTCTGTCCCCACCCTGAGCGTTGATTCATCATGCAGAGGCCGTAGAGAAGCCCGATTTAGACATTACATATAATTTAACAGATCCATTTCACGCCATGCTGTTCATGCTGTTCATTTAAATAATGTATTATAATTTACAGGTTTCTCACAGTTATTTATCCCGGGAAAAGGGAGTGGTTTTGGGCGGTAGATCCCAGTAAATCTCGGTAACCGGGTTCCTGCCATTCAGCACAACCCTAATGGGGACCAGGTTCATTCCAGTCAACCCATTTACAGCTATTTATTTCCTTTGCTCTTTCTCTGCAATCTTCAAAGCCTCAACGCAATGTGTATGCAAATCACAGGCAGCCAGAGCACTAGGATATTATAGTCAATCTCAGAGGCGCTGTTTTGCTTTGTAAGCACTAAACACCCCACCAGGGCCGGGGCAGGATAGAAACCAGGCTCCTGGAGAATGGGATTAGAAGTGAGGGAGAGGGGGAGAGGGAGCGATATATGAAATAATGGGATGGAGGGATGGAGTTGGGGAACTTGAAAGGATGGATTGAGCTGTGCTTTCCATCCCTCTGTCCTTGTGGCCGAGAGACGAGGAAGAGGAGAGAAAAAATAGAGGAAAAAAGGGGGGAACGTTTCAGGACGATAGATGTTCCTTGTGTGTGTGACACACTGTAAAGTCTTGGGTCTAAGGTCCAGGACAATGTTGGGACACTAAAATGTTTCCGAATCTGAATCTGGCTGGGTCTACTCCAGCCTCTGATTCTGATCGTATACAATCTTATTATCTTCTGTTGAGGATAGTGTGCCAGAAGGAAGATTATTTAAAATACACTACTTTGAACATGTTGATTGTGTGTGTGTGTGTGTGTGTGTGTGTGTGTGTGTGTGTGTGTGTGTGTGTGTGTGTGTGTGTGTGTGTGTGTGTGTGTGTGTGTGTGTGTGTGTGAATGTGTGGGTGTGTGTGGGTGTGGGTGTGTGTGTGCGTGTGTGCGTGCGTGCGTGCGTGTTTGTATGTGTGTGTGTGTGCATACTCTCAAATACAATTAGTGTATTTACTCTGAAACTCTCAAATGAAGGAAATACATTTTCCTTTCTCTTCACATCCATTATCTAGTAGCATGTCCTGACTTGCCATAAGACTTAGTCCAGTGTCCTCACTGGTTTCCTGGTGATGTGTTAAGGGAGATAAAGTGTTGTTCTCCTCTGCCCTCAGTACACATTCTACTAAGGGAACTGTCTCTCCTCCTTAATGGTTTTTAATTAATCATTCATACATTGTGAATGCAATGCAGTGCCTTTGCTTGGTCCAAACTGCATATTTAAATATACAACCTCAAACTTCAATTGTATTTGCCATATATAACTACATTGGAGGTCCTACTCACCAGAGCACTCAATATTTTTAAAAAGAGCATTAAACACATTTACATTTTAGTAATTTAGCAGACACTCTTATCCAGAGTGACTTACAGTTAGTGCATTCATCTTAAGATAGCTAGGTGGGACAAACACAGTCATAGTAAGTTTTTACACAATAAAGTTGTTATCTGCAAAGTCAGTGCTACTGGGAAAAGACAAGACACAAGTTTAAAAAAGTATTATTATTAAAAAAGTTATTTAGTGAGTTAGTTACTACGTTGTAAATATATCATACTGATGAGGATGCCAAACCTTTGGTAGGCTTGCTGGCAACACCAGTTGTTTTAACACATCACTTGTTTTTCAAGGCACAGTTGCCTCGCCATCAGCCATGACGTCAGGGACTCAGTTAGATGTCCCTCTTTAGAGAATCTCCATTGGTCGGTTTTCATTTTTTTCACAGTTAGCCATTAGGCAGCAATAAATCCTTCGGATGCCCCTCTTACAAAAATCACAGTCCTTATTTCCTCCTTCTGGCCGGGACTTAGCTTCTATTCTCAGCTTTGTCAAGACACTTCCCTCCCTGCCTCACAGTCACAGTTACATGGCTCAAACTAGCATCTTGAATAATGTTTACTTCATGGTTACAATTCATTTGATTGAGGTGTTTTTGTGATTACTATAATTTTTCCCCCAACATCATTATTTACAATTAATTTGATTGAGGTCAGACACAACAGAATAAGGTTTGAAATGCCATTTACCATTACTAAACAAGATGGAGTTTGTTTCTCTGTTCTTACCCTTATGTAGCGCCAAGCCAGGCCAGCATTGGGGTGGAGCTTTACTGCCACCTAGTGACATTGTTATTAATAGCACACTCATAGAAAAACTATGACTAGAATGGGATTCCCATTCAAAACAATGTTCAGTGATTTCTGCAATTCTATTTCTATGAGCAACACGTAGGTAGATGAGGTGTTGTGTTACACTAATTATGCGACAAACATCTTGAGGTGGTGTTGTATGGGTCATTAAATATGTTTTGTTTTGTAAGTATTATTTTACTCCATCCTCTCTCTCTCCCCCCCATTCCCACACACACCCTGTAACTGCACTAACTCTGAATTCTCTTCTCCCCGTCTCGAGGTGTGTGTGTGTTAACCGCTGTTTGGGCTGTCCTACAGGCAAGGGTCCAGAGACCATATTTGCTGGTCAGAACCTGAATGATAATGAGTGGCACACGGTGCGTGTGTTCAGAAGGGGAAAGAGTTTGAAACTCACCGTAGATGATCTTCAACCTGTAGAAGGTACAACCTCCCTCTCTCTAATTCAATGACTATGTTATATATGAGTGTGATACTTTTCAGGACAGTCCTTGGGCCCCTTGTAGGTAAGACACACAGTTTGATTATGGACTAGGTCAGACAAAGTTGGATCTAGTCCATAATGTCTGATATACATAATGTCTCAATCCTTTTGGGGCTAGTTTCCCAGACAGAGATTAAAACTAGTCTTGGACTAGAAATATATTTCAATGAATATTCTCCATTGAGCATGCTTTGTAGTACAAGATTAGTCTTAATCTGTGCTGGGAAGCCGGCCCTTTGTGTATAAACCCATTGTATTTCACATACCTTTCAACTAGTGGACATGTGTGGCTCCAGACCTTTTGGAGGTGAGAGTGACATGTGTCCTGCTGGAGACATGAATGACCTCCCTCCACCCATGTCTTTCCCCCCTCTCACCCTCCCTCCTATCAATCAAAAGGTCAAATGGCAGGTGACCACACCCAGTTGGAGTTTCACAACATTGAGACGGGTATCGTGACGGAGAAAAGGTTCATGGCCATGGTGCCTTCCAACTTCATAGGCCACCTCCAGAGCCTCTCCTTCAACGGCATGGCCTATATAGGTATGTAGCCCAGAGGTTAGAGAGGTGGACCAGTAACCGGAAGGTCAATGGTTCAGGTCTTGGGCTGGCTGATGAAAAAGTGGGGACTGAACTGGCTGCTGGAGGTCTGCTTGTGTCAGATCATTAATACTACTAATGTTGTAATCTTGAGCAGGGCTCTTAACCCCAGAGGGGTGTGTGTGAGAAAAAAATAGATAAATAAAGGATATATTCTATTTTTTCTATAGACCTGTGTAAGAACGGCGACATTGACTACTGCGAGCTCAATGCCATGATCGGCTTCAAGAACATCATTGCTGACCCGGTCACGTTCAAGTCACGGTCGAGCTATTTGGCTCTGACCACCCTCCAGGCCTACTACTCAATGCACCTGTTCTTCCAGTTCAAGACCACCTCGTCAGATGGACTCATACTGTTCAACAGCGGGGACGGAAACGACTTCATCGTGGTCGAGCTGGTCAAGGGGTAGGTTGTCAAGACATACTGTAGGTTAGTAACTAATATTGAAGGCTTGGGCAGGTTGTGTGTGTTTGGGATTTTGGAGTGTGTGTGCGTGTGTGTGTGTGTGTGTGTGGGCGTGTTCGCGTGTGTCTGCATCATTATTCATGTGAATGCCTTTTTCCAGCTACCTGCACTACGTATCAGACCTGGGGAACGGAGCTCACCTGATCAAGGGCAACTCCAACAAGCCCCTGAATGATAACCACTGGCACAACGTCATGATTTCACGAGACACTAACAACCTCCACACCGTCAAGATCGACACCAAGATCACCACCCAGACCACCATGGGAGCCAAGAACCTGGACCTGAAGGGTAGGCTGCCCGGGGCGGAGGGTTTATGTTCTAAACATACTTTATACTCTGACGGAGGGTGGCACTATTGTTATTGCGTTGGGGTACAGTGTCTCAGAGGAGCCAATTGACTGTTACTGGTCTGCTGTTTGATAGGGCTAGTGTGTGTCTTTCAAAGAAGATCAGAGGAGAGTAAAATCAATGTTACATTGAGCTGTGAAGTATCCTATCAATGGAATTTCTGTATCACAAGGCCCATCATTATATATATATGTATTTTTTTTTATACGGGAACAGATGCATATTTCAAGGAATATTCTCAGTTCTAGACTAGAAGCATTACACTGTGCCTGTATACAGTTTTTATCAGTAGCTATTTTTCTCCACCAGGGGTCAGTGATTCCATACTAGTCTACTATGTTTTATTGAACAGCAAAACATTCATTTTCCTGTTCTCTACCTTTGTCATTCTGAATAGCAGAAGTCGTGCAGGCTGTATTATAGACACAGTTATCACCTCATCAGTGACATATTAACCCTTCCTGTCTGTTCGTCTGCCCCCTCATAACTACTTACTTAATCCTCTTCATTCCTATGAAAAATATAAGCCTTCAATGAGAGAGCACCACTGTTGCCTATCCGCTGCTTGTCTGGAGATTGGGTTCCTTGACAGGCCACTATCCTTCATCTTTTTCCTACCCCTTCCTTCACAGGTGACCTGTATATTGGTGGCGTGGCCAAAGAGACATACAAGGAACTTCCCAAGCTGGTGCACGCCAAGGAGGGCTTCCAGGGTTGCCTAGCGTCGGTGGACCTGAACGGACGCCTCCCGGACCTGATGTCGGACGCCCTGGCATGTGTCGGCCAGATAGAGAGGGGCTGCGAAGGTAAACACACACACACACACACACTAGGGTGGCCCGTCCTCTTCTGGCTGTTCCGGGTAGAAATTAAGTGATAACATACTCTAAGTCAAATCAAATCATAGTCAAATCAAAGTTTGTGATCAAATCGGAGTTGTTCTTACTGTGACATTGTGAATGTTTTCCTCTCAGTCATTTTTATTTTCTGTGCCTGGACCACACATGGTTTTAAAATACAGACAAACAACTTGAGAGTTTTTCCAAATCTGATTTGACATCGGTGACCTCTCCTCTAAGATGCCTTCCTCAGAGCAAGGCCTCTTTGCTGGTTGCAAATTGAGGAAACGAAGACACTAACTTGTCTGAAATAAAATGGTGAATTTCACCTTCTAGAATCCAGCCTTCCAAAGTGGAATGGTCACACATGATTAGGATAGTCCCATATAGATGATCTACAGATGGTCATACTATCAACAAACTTTCTCAATTGAAGTGCCTGTGAACGAACCATTTTCTTTCCACACACCAGAAACACACTCTTGCTGCTACTTCTGGCCTTTCTTCACGGCTTCACACTCTTTTCCATCAGCCTCTCACCTAACTCATTAACAGACCGTTCATTCACTTCTCAATGATGTGAACAGTTTTTCCCTTGTTTGTCCACAGTCCAGGTGTCTGCTCACCTGTACGCACACACGCCCACCCGCACACACACACACACCCGCACACACACACACACACACACATACACACACACACACACACACACACACATTATCAATACCCTTTGGCACATAATTTACCATGTTAACATCCTGATAGTATGTTGGTATGCTGTTAGAATACGTCAAAAGCTGCCAGTCCTCTACCCTCGTCAGTTGTGATTATTTTGGCTACAGTATAATCAGATTACTGTCGCTAACAACATTTGTATTGTTAGTGTTACTTCTCATTTTATCCCCATTCTGCTGCTCTGCTCCGCACACACACACACACACACACACACACACACACACACACACACACACACACACACACTGTGTTCCGTGCATGCTTAATCTGAGTGTTTGCCAGAAGCAATCCTCTTGAATTATGGATGAGAATTTTGTTGCATAAATGAATATAATTTGGCTAATGTGTGCATCCCAAATGGCACCCTATCCCCCTTATAGTGCACTACTTCTCACCAGGCCCCATAGGGCTCTGGTCAAAAGTAGTGCACTATATAGGGAATAGGGTGCCATTTGGACGCACGGTTAGCATTGTGTTTGCACCACTTCCAAAGTAAATATTTGATGTATTTGTCAACGTCATTCTCACTTCGGTTTTCATTTCACATTTCAAAATGTCATCCTCCTCCACTCTTTCTCTGTTCTATTTTTCCATGTAAGGACAATGCTATGACACATATGTATTTTTTTCTCTCTGTGTTTTGACGTCATCATTCTTTTTTTTGTACCCAGTAAGCTCGTGTAGCTTGGTAAACTGTTCCACAGAACTGCAGCAGATAAAAATAATTAAGGATAATACAGTTAGAATATTCTGCAGCAGAGTACAGGATAATACAGTTATAATATTCTGCAGCAGAGTACAGGATAATACAGTTAGAATATTCCGCAGCAGAGTACAGGATAATACAGTTATAATATTCTGTAGCAGAGTACAGGATAATACAGTTAAAAATTCTGCAGCAGAGTACGGGATAATACTTAAGTGATAATGCCAGAGAAGCCGGTGTTTCGATGATATATTGGCACGGGTGTTGTTAGGCCCGAGATGAAGTCTTTGAATATGTTGGGTTACCAACATATTCAAATCATGATTTACATATTTTCATTCAAAACAATATTTTGATTAATTTATTCATACTATTTAATCCTTCCACAAGATATAGTCCCGACACAAATCTAGGGTTGCTACCCAAGCCGGCTGGTCATCAGTTCGGTTGCCAGAGATGCGACACAGTCATTCAGTCTTTTTGTTCTGTATCTATGGACGCAACCTAGTCATTTGTTCTAAATGTTCCATTGCCATACTGGCTGGCAACGTCCTTATCCCTTGCTTGCTAGCTAACCAATTACAGCTTACTTACAGTCACGTCAATCAGTGCAGCCAGAATAACAGCAAAATAGCTGCATTTGCGTTTGTTTAAGCTGTTTTCTAGATACATTTATTTGTATACTTCCATAACAATGAGCTAATGATGCGCGATTTCGCCTGGCATAGAAAATGTGCTCTCTCATCAGGACACTTGTTCAGAGGAGCTAGCCAACAACACAGCTAAAACAATCACTTCAAACTGAAGCTGGAAAGACAGCAAACTAGCTGCACTTCGTTTCGTTTTACCTGTTTTCTAATGATAGTTATTTGTATATATCCATAAAAATTATGCTGATTCATGATTTCGACTGGCTGAGAATAGCTGCCTGCCTCTCTCTCACCCCGACTCCTGAAACTTTCATTACTATGGAACATCTGGAGATTGAATTTGAATATTGAAACAATGTTGCAAATGTCGGAGAGACAGACATCAAGGTTTATACAAATCTCCGCTGTTGAAAACTTAATGTTAGTCTAAAAGAAATGTGAGATAATGTCTAAATGCTTTTTATAGTGGAAAACAAGTTTATAAATTGCCTGGCTGGGCTGATGAGACAGTGGATTGCGCAGTCAGATGGAACAGAGTAAATAGGTATTTTAATGTCATATATTTAGCCGTTGGTAACTTATGGAATAGACACCGGCTGGAATGCGGTTTTAACCAGTCAGTATTCAGGATTAGACCCACCTGTTATAATAGTCTGCAAAGGAAGATACACAATAGGAACAGACACAACACACATTATGGACAATTCAGTGTCGGTGTGAGTGACTGAGTGACTGAGTGACTAAGAAGGGACAGTATGTGATTGTATGATGTTTTTTTATATTTATTATTATTATTATTTGTATTTTATTTAAATATTAACCCCCCCCCCCCCCCCCCCCCCCCCTCCCTCGGAGCGCACAAATATTTTGTTTTTGTTTTTACAGCTTTTTTGCTACATATACATACATTTTACATATCACACTTTACATATACATTTGACATACATGGTACTTTTATATACAGCAATTCAATCACATAGCAATAATACATTACCCGAACATGTGATTGCATGACTACTAAAAGTACATTTCCACTGCTTCCTTCACCTCAAAGAACCATTCAAAAGTATCCACTTCTAACGACCATACATTCTCTTGCTTTTATTCTTCTCTCTTTTATATTTCCGACTCATTCAAGGCTATTTCTTGACTGAAGTGTTTCGCAAAATCATTCAGTACTCTCTCTCCTTTCTGCTTCCTCCTACAGGACATAGTTGTCTCTTTTGTTACTTTGTCTCTGTTGTCTCTCCGTCTTCTCCTGCCTCTATCTGTTTCTCTCTGTTAATACAGTCTCTGACAACATTTCAGTGCTTTACTAACATCTGGTATATTTGACCTTTTCCTTTTCTTATTGTTTCGCTGACTTGATCAAGTTGCATTGATGAAAGCTGACTTGCAAGGTAGATAGCTTCTGTTTGTTTGATACAGACCGCCCCAACCCTCCACAACCCCCCCGACCCTCCACAACCACCACTTCCACCTCTCTTCACATCCTCACCCCTCCAACTAAATGACAACTCAGGGTGTTACATCACTCACTCCCATGTCATAAGGAATGGGCTTCAGCCCCATAGGGGAATACAAGGCTCACTCACCTGCCCAATCCTAAACCGACCCCTAGATCCTGTACCTCTAAGAGGATTTGACAGGTGTAAGCAACATATAAATAGCTCCACCTTGCCCTCTGATAGGTTAGGTGGAAGTTTCACCAAGTTTCTTATACCAATTAAATGCTCTCGGATATCCACAAGTGCATAGAGCATAGGGTCTAGGGGACGATTTGGAATTGGACCACCACCACCATCTTGTATGACAGCCTATGGGTCTCTTGTTATTGTCTCGCAGTCACTTATGTTGTACTCACTTTACTTATAGTTTATTGTATTCACTGGACTCATGTCTGTTTTGTCACATATGATCTATCACATATGGTATACATTTTATATACCATTATTTTATTGCATGGCTCATAGTCTTCCTAACATAATATACATGTTGCCCACTGTATGCATGGAATTGCACCAAATCTATAGATCATTGTGCAATTTTGAATCAAAATAGATGGGGTAACTATAGCTACCTCATGTTTGTAAGATGGCAACCCTTGTTACCTGTGTTGTGTGTCAAATTGTACTTTTCTTATCAGTGTAAATACTATTATTTCAATACTATATTTGTTTTATTCAGTACAGTTTTTATTGATGTTGTATATGGGGCAATAGGATGAAAACATATATGTAAGTGCTAATTCACAAAGCATCATTCATAATAATAAATGTTTTTAATTGAACAAATAAATGAATAAATAACCATAATTAAATTGAATAATAATCATTACAACTCAGTCACTACATCCACAACCACTAAAACTAATAAAAGTTACAAAAAATTAGCATTTTCATTAAGACACTGTCAGCCTAATATACAATAGCATTAGAGGAGAAAGTAAAAGGTTATAATATTTTAACTTCATACTTTTGAGAACTAAAATATGCAGTAGTGCATTATCTAATAGTCATACATAACTTGTAATTCACCATAATCACCATTGTAACAACATGTATCATAATCCAAGATAATCTCATTCATAATCTCAGCATAGAAAATTGAACCTTGCTACACAACTCTGGTTAACATCCATACTAACCCTGTGTCATTCCACTGGCATTAACTCTCCCATTAACACAGCCTACAGAGGGGCTGACTGACATGGCTGACAGACTACATAGCAGACTGGCGGACAGCTTGGCAGACAGATGACATGGCAGACTGGCTGACTGGTTGACAGACTACATAGCAGACTGGCTGACAGCCTGGCAGACAGATGACATGGCAGACTGGCTGACTGACTGGTTGACAGACTACATGCCAGACTGGCTGACATACTGGCAGACAGATGACATGGAAGACTGGCTGACTGAATGGTTGACAGACAACATAGCAAACTGGCTGACAGCCTGGCAGACAGATGACATGGCAGACTAGCTGACTGACTGGTTGACAGAATACATAGCAGACTGGCTGACAGCCTGGCAGACAGATGACATGGCAGACTGGCTGACTGACTGGTTGACAGACTACATAGCAGACTGGCGGATGACGTGGCAGACAGACATACAGACATACAGACAGACAGACATACAAACATATAGACAGACAGATGTATAGACAGACAGGCATATAGACAAACATACATACATACAGACAGAGGGACAGACAGACAGACAGACAGACAGACAGACAGACAGACAGACAGACAGACAGACAGACAGACAGACAGACAGACAGACAGACAGACAGACAGACAGACAGACAGACAAATAGACAGATGTATAGAAAGGCAGACATATAGACAAACAGACAGACAGACAGAAAGACAGACAAACAGACAGGTGTATAGAAAGGCAGACATATAGACAAACAGACAGACAGACAAACAGACAGACAGAGAGATATACAGCGGTATAGACATACAGACAGAGGGATAGACAGACAGACAGTGGTACAGACAGACAGGCAGACAGACCTATTGACAGACAGAGGCTAAGAACGGTGTCTGAGCCTGTGACATTGTTGGTCAACGCAAGTGTCTGCTGCTGATGATCTTTACCTTTTTTTTTGCATTACTAAAGACGACTGAAGTTTTTAGACCCTCTCCACAAGAGACAGATTCCAGATTGTCTCAGATCCTGTTTTACTTACCACTTTATCTACCCTCTGTGTACTCTCTCATGGACAGATCTAATTAACCATAACTGGTACTGTAGAATCTGTCGGGAACGAATGATATGCGTAGGCTAAGGAGCAGCAGTAGTTCCAGTGTACGTTTTTTTTGTCACTGGTTATTTGGAGAAATCACGATGTCGCAGGTGTTAGCATCTTTCAAATGTCGGAATGGGAGGGAACATTCAGCCCGTAACTTGCAAAGGAGAGGGTGGAGCTCCTCATTTTGGTTCCGCTCCTCTTTCTAGCATCTATTCATCTCTTCTCTTAACACGTATGGATCCAGAACTTAATCAAGCAGCTGACCAATTTTGTGAGACTTTAGTTCTGACTTTAGATTACCCTCTGTGTTAGATTGATCTTGCCATGTAAATAAATGCATGAACGAAAACACATACCTACTCCCTCATGAAGTGAACAAAGCCTCTGAATGGTTCCTCTGTCTCTTTTCTGATTGGATACACTGGCTACTTCCCTTTTTCTACGTTTGACCTGCAATGCTCTTTCTTTTTTACTCAAGAAACAATTAAATGTGTTACTATGGTTTCCCTTTCTTTCATAATAATGTTGGTTCTTTCCTAAAAACAGTGGTGAGACTGTAAGAACATAATAATTATGAGGATCAATAAGCAAGAATACCTTAAAACTCACTAAAACTAATGACAATCTATGTAAATGCAACAGAAATATTATTTAAACCTGTCTTAAAAAACTCACTGGTTGACTGTTCAATTAGTGTTTTCCGTGTCTCTGTATAATTACGTGTGTTTGTCTCTCTCTGTGTATGTGTGTGTGTGTGTGTGTGTGTGTGTGCGTGTGTGTGTGCGTGCGTATGTGTGTGTGTGGTATTTCTGTGTGTAAAGTTTTTCTGTGTGTAAGGTGTTAGTGTGTGAGGGAGAGAGAGAGAGAGAGAGAGAGAGAGAGGTATGTTTGTCTCAGTATGTCATTTGTCAGTATGTAAACTGTGTTTCATATGTGGGTAAGTGGATTACAAGAATGAAGTTGGATTATACTTTTAATCGTATTTACGTGTTTAATTCTCTCATCACACATACACATACATTTGGTCAATTCTGATCACATATTTTAAGTAAACCCTCCCTCCCCTTCCTTCCCTCTCTCTCTCCCTCCCTCCCTGTGCCCAGGCCCCAGTACAACGTGCCAGGAGGACTCGTGTGCCAACCAGGGTGTGTGCCTGCAGCAGTGGGAGGGGTTCAGCTGTGACTGTAGCATGACTTCTTTCGGAGGGCCACTCTGCAACGACGGTAAGACACATATCATTCTAACCCCCTGTTTGTGTGTACTGTACACACAGCTGTACCCCCTGTCTATGTGCTCACACACTCTTCGACACACCCTTACCCCAATCTACTTAATAATTAAATAATATAATCATATGTCTATTTAGCAGACGCTTGTATCCAAAGTGACTGCACACCTACACACACCCTTATAACGTATATCTATCTGTACTGTGCACACATCCTACCCCTATGAATGTGTACACACACTTCCATGTATAATCATATGGTCATTTTGCAGACACTTTTAGGGTTACAGAACTGTCATTACTAACAGTGGCACATATAGTGGCCCATCGGAACCAGATATTTGGACCACATGTTAGATGCTTTCTATGTACTTCATTACATAATCCTGTATGTCCCCATTGGGGCATTGATACAGACACTCAATGAGCTACCTCAATTTATTCCTGTCCTTGGTTACATATTGTACACATATTGTGCCTCCTTCCAAGAGAGGTTGATCTTAGCCATACAGGTGTAGCATCTTAATTTGAGCCAGTTTGCTACAGCAGGAAAATAATCATGCAGCAACAGGAAATGAGCATTATTATGTGGATTATAGTTAATGGACATTTTTGTAGGGGTTAGTAAATTTTTTGCAAGGGAAAATCAAGTCTGAAATTTCAAAGTGGAAATTACAAACTTCAGAAGCCTTTTTAAATCTCAAATACACTACACGTTTTAAATTAATATCCTACTGTATGTACATACATGCATACTGTAGTGTACACTGTAACCTATATAAGAATGTATTTTGTCCTTTGTGACATCTTTTGTTGTACACCAACACACAAAACACACTTCAAGTCTGCCTTTGCTAAAGGCTTGCTCTAAATTCCACTTTGCATACATCGAGTTCCATACATTGAGTTCCATATGTTGAATTACATATATACTGTATCTTGACTGAGTGGCCTTTGTGCCAGAAGAGTTGACTAAAGGTAAGTGTTGTCATCGTCATGGTGGCAACAATGAACAAGTCCATTTGGAACATTGTAACACTTTTCTTCCCCCTCACTGTCACTTCAGTACTTATGTCCTCTGTTCTCATTAGCAGTTATTATTTTCCATGTGGACTCTGACACTATAAAGGAGAACTCTTATGTTCTATACTTGTACATGTTGCGTTTGACAACTCATTGGCAATTATTATATTACTGTGGACTCTGGCAATACAAAAGGAAAATGCTATTATACACACTGTGCACTACTTTACCTGACAGCAATAAAGGCCTGGAGGACACAGCAGGAATTTAACTGACAGCAATAGAGGCCTGGAGGACACAGCATGAATTTACCTGACAGCAATATAGGCCTGGACACAGCCGGAATTTACCAGACAGCAATAGAGGCCTGGAGGACACAGCAGGAATTTACCTGACAGCAATAGAGGCCTGGTGGCCTGGACGCAGCTCATTGCTGCTTTGGATTGTTTCACTCTTTCATTTCTCCCACCAGTAGATTTGATGTGGCAATACACAAACTGTCAAAAGGACATAACTTGTATTATGAGGTGAGAGCTATGAGGCGTGACTGAATGAACATTTGGGAAGGTGCTTACTTATATTAAAGACTGTTACTGCATCTCAAATGGCACCCTATTCCCTAGTGAACTACTTTTGATCAGGGCCCATAGGGCTCTTGTCAAAAGTAGTGCACTATGTAGGGAATGGGATGACATTTGGAATGCATCACTAGAGAATGAGGAGAAAGGGGGGATGTTGTCTTGTTAATGATACGCCCTAGAGAGAAGGGGATGGCAATACTGGGACAATGTGGGAATGCTTGCAATAATTCAACCAAATAGCCTACTATCTTATGCAAAATATGCACGAGGGACAAGGGGAGAGTGTGCAGTGGTTATTATTTTCCTCTGTGGTGGTTTACGCTGTAATGGGCGAATGGAGGAAACTGCTGAACAGCACTTAAGTAAAAGAGAGAGCGAGAGAGAGAGAGAATGGAGGGATAGAGATCAAGGGAGGGAGGAAGACAACACAAAAGTAAGCGAGGTGGGGCACTCTGTGGGTGGAGCTAGGGATGGAGATGACACAAAAATGAGGGAGGGAGGAGAAGGGCAGCATAAATGTTAATATATTCACTTCCATGCAGCTGCCAACCAGATAAGAAGCTTCTCTCTTTTGTTATCAGGGAAGAGAGCGTTAATAGATTTCAGCGCTGGCGCGCCCCTCTCCTTCGCTCCTCCACTCTTCCACTGACCGCCATGATAACACGAGAAGGATACTCGTGTCTGAAGAGATGTGAAACATTTATACCCCAGAATTTACACAAAATGTACATCTCTCGCTCTCACTCTTTTATTACACATTCTCTCTCCCTCTCCATCTCCCCTCCCCTCCCCTCCCCCTACCTCTCTCTCTCTCTCTCTCTCTCTCTCTCTCTCTCTCTCTCTCTCTCTCTCTCTCTCTCTCTCTCTCTCTCTCTCTCTTTCTCCTTTCCCTCTCCCTTCCTCTCTCCTCACTCATCTATTCCTCTTCATCCTAAGCCCTGTCTTTGGTCTGAGTTATACTATATGGCAGGGATGTGAATGAGGAGATGTTGAGAGATATATATCAATGAAGGCCAAGTAAACTCCAGGTGAACCCTGGCGCTGTTCATTTAAAGGAGAGGAAAACACTGGCATGGCCCCTTTCTGTTTCTTTCCCTTTTCTCCTCTATATCATCCATATTCAGCCCTGGCCATCCAGTGAGGTGTGTGTGTGTGAGTCTCAGCATGTAGAGGCCTTTAGCTGGGGCATAATGCATGTCCTGTAGCCAGCGTGATGGCAGGTTTATTCACAGGAGGCATTCGTGAGAACAGAGCTGGCTATTTTCTTCCCACATCAGTAAATGAGCTCATTCTCTGGGGCTGGCTGGTACACACACACACACCATTGCCACGCACACAACAGAAAGTGACTTATCTGTGTGTGTGTGTGTGCGAGCATGTGAGTTTCCATTTCACAGAGAGCGAGCGAGAGAGAGAAAGAGAGAGAGAGAGAGCGAGAGGAGAGATGAGGAGAGGAGAGAGAAGAGAGAGAGAGAGGAGAGTGAGAGAGAGGAGCGGGAGGGAGAGAGAGGTGGAGGAGAGAGAGAGACAGAGGAGAGAGAGAGTGAGAGAGAGGAGAGAGGAGAGAGGGCGAGAGACGGAGAGGAGGAAGGGATGAGAGGAGAGAGGAGGGAGAGAGAGAGAGGAGGAGGAGAGGATGAGAGATGAGAAGAGGAGAGAGGAGAGGAGAGAGAGAGAGAGAGAGAGAGAGAGAGAGAGAGCATCTCAAGAGCAAGAGAGAGGGTCATAGTTCAGATAGTCCATCTATAGATGCTCTGCAGATGGTCATACTGTCAACAAACTATATGTTGATAAGCAACTGTTTGCTAAGGTTATGGTTAGGGATAGGTTTAGAATAACATTTAACCCTAAGGGATAAGGTTAGGGTTAGGGCTAGGGTTAGGGTAAGGGTTAAGAAAGGAAAGCCCGGAAAATCGTTAAAGACTCCAGCCACCCAAACCATAGACTGTTCTCTCTGCTTCCGCACGGCAAGCGGTACTGGTGCATCAAGTCTGACACCAACAGGTTCCTGAACAGCTTCTATCCCCAAGCCAAAAGACCACTAAATAGCTAACGAAATAGCAAACAAAATGACTATCTGACTTGACCCTTGTATTACTTTTTAAATGTTGCACTGTGTCTATGCACACTCACAGGGCCCTACACACTCACGCACACTGCCACTCTAAAACACACACACATAAACACTCACTCCATCATTTGCTCACACACACATAATATGCACATACATTTATAGTGACTCTACACACCCACTCACATACAATACTGGAACTGACCCTGTATAAAGTATATGCTTACTTACCTTATTGTGTTCTTCTTATTTTTATATCTTGTGTGTTTTTGTTCTACCTTCAGTTATTGATTATTGCATTGTTGGGTTTAGAGCTTGCAAGAAAGGCATTTCACTGGTAAGAGTTAAGGTTAGGGTTAGAGCTAGGTTTCGGGTTAGCAGAGAGTTAGTTGAAATGTTACTAATTGTCTGTAGATAGTCTGTAGAGGATGGACTATCCAAATAAACTGTTACCAGAGAGAGAAAAAAAAAATATATATATATAAGTGTATCAGTTGGAAACAACATTTTTACAAGGTGCATTTGCATAAACTGAGACGCAGAGCAGCCATTTTACGATGAAGCCAAAAAGTGTTTGAGGAGAAGGAGAGTTGCGTCCCAAATGGCACCCTATTCCCTAGTGCACTACTTTTGACCAGGACCCACAGGGTATCCCACAGGGCTCTGGTCAAAAGTAGTTCTCTATAAAGGGAATAGGGTGCCATTTGGGACTCATCCGAGGAGTGCGGCACTAGGCGCCGTTTCTGAGATCTCTCTGATGGGTCGTCATGGGCACTCTGCCGCACCCTGCCTCGTCGAGACGGAGAGAAACTCCATTTCACAGTCCCTGGTCCCCATCCCAATCACAATCCTGAGTTGTACGGCATGACGATGCTACATACACACACACCCACAGGAACATATGAGCACATGCACACACATACATAAGTGTGGAGCAGCTGTCAATCATAAAGCATGGGATGTGGGAGAGATAATGTAATATCTGATGGTGATAGCACCATCTCACTATCAGACATGGGAATTCAGCCTCATGCCACAGAGCGGTAGTGTCCTAAATGGCACCCTATGCATTATATAGTGCCCTACTTTTGACCAGAGCCCATGGTGCACTACATACGGGTGCCAATTGTGACGCAGACAATGATCATCGCTTCGCTTTAACCAGTGCAGTAGTGTGAATCGATAGGAAGAAACAAGGGGCCAATTTCATGGAGAAGACTCATGGGGTAGGTTCTCATTTGGGGGTAAAGATAGAGCCTATCTCTAACTCCTTACACTCTCCATTAAGGTTCATTACTTTTTCATTTCAGGAGACGCTCGTATCCAGAGCGTCTTACAGGAGTTAGGTGCCTTGCTCAAGGGCACATCGACAGATATTTCACTTAGTCAGCTCAGGGATTCGAATCAGTGATGTTTCAGTTACTGGCCAAACGCTCTAACCGCAAGGCTACCGCTCTTCTCTCTTCCAGAGTACATTTTCAGTAATAGAAGGTAGAAGGGAGATGATTGGGTAATGTCGGAAGGAAAGCTACATAAGTGGCCATGACCATAAGTATCTAGCGTTACCTCGCTTTAGTCTTTGTTCAATATGAAACACAGTAAACTAAGTATCATAACAGCCTCTGTTCAGTATGACACATCGTTAGGTTATCCTGCTGAGGGACACCTGCTGTGGACAGAAATTGTTCATTTCACAGTCTGGGTTTCCAACGAGGGGCAGCTAGGCTTTACCATAGAGAAGTAATTCAGTTGACTGGTTGGGAGGGCTGAGTGGTTGGCAGGCACACTCGGAGCCTCACTCCGCTCACACACACACCTACGCACACACACACACACACACACACACACACACACACACACACACACACACACACACACACACACACACACACACACACACAGGCACAGACACTCCAGAACCCATCATTTGAGTCACCCCAGCAGAGTGGATATTCGGAGGTCAAGGCCACAGTGGCTTTCCATTCCTTCCACTGAGGCGGAAGTGGACAGCAACAAAGAGAGAGGTCGCGTCCAAAATGCCACCCTATCCCCTATGCAGTGCACAACTTTTGACCCAGTCCCATAGGGCTATGGTCAATAGTAGTGCACTACGTAGGGAATAGGGTTTCATTTGGGATGAACACAGGGCAACAGGGAGCCAGCCTATTAAGACTCAGTGTCTCCTCTCTCTTTTTCTCTGTCTTTCACCATCGCACTCGTCACCCCATACCTGCTGGGGACATTTGAAAAAGAAAAACTGAAAGAAAAGGAGAAGTGGAGTGATGTGGTTACCCACAAACCTCTTTGGTGACATCCCAAATGAAACCCTTTTCCCATTTTAGTGCACTACTTTGGACCAGTGCCCATAGGGGTCTAGTCAAAAGTAGTGCACTATACAGGGAATAGGGTGCCATTTAGGATCCACACCCTCTCCCCTTTCTCCTCTCCCTTGTCTTGAACCCACTCATTAGACAACCTGGCGAATGAAAAGGTCCTAATTAACACTTGGATTGTGAGGCCTGTTTCGGATGCAGTGCATCGCTGGTGGGCGAATGGATCAAATTGTACTTGTCACATGCGCCGAATACAACAGGTGTAGACCTTACAATGAAATGCTTACTTA